TGGAGGCGCTGCAGACGGTGGACAAGTTCACGCTTGACTTTCGCATTGTGTCCATACCCAAAGAGCCGGTGTACATTCGCTTTGTACCGAGATTGTAGTTTCTTGTTTTGATTAAAGTAGACTTGAGAAATAAAAACAGTTTTGCTTGCAAACGGCATCACAATAAAAGGGTATATAAGTAAAAGATTAAATCAAGAAAAACTCAGTTCAGAGAATTAGATGATTGAGAATAGTGCTCCCAACAACTTGACATCTTGAAAAAAGTATTCCTTCCATCCATCAGTGGCCATGACAGCTGCCTTGTTTTTGACGATAAACTGGGCAATTTCGTTCATGCAGTTGGGCATTCCTAACTGATATGCGTAGTAAAAATTTTTTGACGCATTTTCAACATTGACTTCGGCAGCAAGACTGGTGACGCAAGCAGTAAACAACGATGGAACGTCGTACTAAAAGAAATAGCAAAGTTGTTGTGTTTAAAAACATTTTTTCTTTGTGACTTACCTTATCAGCAACTTTGGCAAGATCACCAGCAAACGATTTCCATTCAGTGTTCTTTCGTCCGTACAAGTAGTCGATGAATGCTCCCATCACTTGACCATCAAAGTCTTCAATGTACACCTTCTTTTCTTGACTTTCTTTAAAGTTTCCCTCTGCAAACATGGCTGCAAACACTGGACTGCGCATTGCGAGTATGGTAGAGTGCACTTTAAACTCTTTTCCATCGGCGACAGTGCACACAGTCACATCGGCAAAGCTGGATTCGGCTCCAAAAACGGCCAGGTTCTGACAAAGGGTATCAGCATGGTTCACTGCTTTGAAAGAGCCAAAAGAGTTCCAGGTGGCAAGAAAACTTGGCTCTTCATTATCAAAAATGGTGATCTTCACTTCTATGTTCATGAAATGACCGTCACATTGAGTTTGAGAACAAAGTTTCTCTTTATATTCATGATCAGCTTGAAAAAGCTCCACCCAAGAACCTTTTTTAAGTACTAAAATTAAAAAATTATTAATTTTTAATGTTAATGATGATTAAAACACTATTCAGTATTACCGATTTTCTTGAGACTCGTAAATTCGCCATTAAACTCTTTTACTTTACTTGTACGGTATTCTATGTTGGCGACAATCTCATTTACGGTAGAACTAGGACAAACTTGAAACCAAAATTTTGCTTGAAATGTTCCAAGTGGCCTCGCAAAAAAACCAAACTTTACTTTCTCGTTGCCAAAATCAGGACTACATATAGGAGTTTGAGCTTTCGAAAAGATGGGTTGCCATTTAAAAGTTAAAACGGTAGAAGCCATTTCACAGATTGCAGACAGGAGCAGTGATGCTTGAAAATCAGAAGAGGATACTTGAAGAAGAAATGCAGACTTTGCTTCACAAAAC